GCTTGTTGCATAAGAATACGCACACCCAATTGATCGCGAGGATTCTTGAAGGCAACGATGTAATGCGCATTTCTAGAAATGGTTTTGGCATGTTTACCTTTGGGAAACATATCTTGAGTCATGAAAACGATGGTGATACCTCTGTGACGTGATTCTCTGGTAAACAGATCTAAGACTCTATGGTCATCACTTCCTTCGCACATGAGATCGTCTAAGATCAAAACTCCACCCATTGTTTTCTTATACCATTTTTCTAATAATTCGGTATCTGGAATTCCTTCGTGGAAATGAACGCCTTGTTTTTTTTTTCCTTCTTTCAAATTGAAATTGGGTTGGTTAGCACCGTAACAATAGACTACGGGATTATAGGGCGGTGTAAACAAACGACTTCTTTCTCTCATCAGTTTTTCCACGTACGCCGTTTTACCGTAACTAGAAGGTCCCACGACCATGATTCTACACGGACTTTAAAACTGAAACGGTGCACATAACATAATGAATTTTTTCTGTGTGTAAACTAAAAAAAGTGTTTTTTATTTATTTATATATCCAACGGACAAGACCTGTTATTGTCTTGTTTACAACATTTAAGATTTTTAACTCTCCAATTTAATAACGGTTTGATCATTTCCCCACCAAATGATCATTGAACACAAAATCCCCTTTTTTGAATAAACTTATGAAATCCTGCATGCTTTGACCCCTGGCTTTAGCTTTCAAATACATTAATGCATATTGTTCACACCATTGTGAGTTCATTTCTTGCAATGTCACTGCATAACTGTCTATATTTGCAAAGTGTTCGCAAACCCATTCCACCACATCGGATGGTTTGTACCAGTTTAACGGTAATCCGTAACTGTCAAAGATTTCGCAAGTGTGTTTTAGTGAAAATAGCCAACCAATGAGATCCGGGTTTATCGATAGGCCAGATAGCCAGATTCTCTAGACTTTCTGTCTATCTATGTGCATCCAACAATAACAAAGCATCAACGGTACTTCACGTATTTGAAAAAGCAGTCAATGAATATGGCATGCCATCGCGTGTACGCTTTGACAAAGGTGTAGGGAACGAAGATGTTTCTTGCTACATGCTGAACCGTCCTCAGAGAGGTCCAGGAAGAGGCAGCATGATCACAGGTATCCCTTTATCCAATGCAGAATAAAATCATAGAAGAGTTCAATAATGGCGTGTAAATAAGTGCTGTCAAAGTAAACACTGCTAATGGTTACTTGGTAATAGATTATGATGATGATGATTACTGAAAGAGGGAAACTCAAAGCTATGGCAATTTATAAATTTTTGTACCTCAAAAGATGGGCGCTTATTCCAGTAAATATGGTAACTGAACATATTTTGTGAACCCAGATCTTGATCACTAAATAAAGACTAAATGCTTTTTTCAAATGGAATAACTTTAAAGTGATCTTCTTTGCATTGGTTTTCACCCTTCTCCCTCATGACTTTAATTTTTATATTGTAACAATACTCATTCATGAGAAGCCACATCCACTTAAGAAATTCAAATTCAGCATTTGACGTACAGTTTATTTTTTATTTCTTTTCTAAATAGGGAAAAGTTTACATAACCAGTTTTTAGGTATAAAATTAGTCAACACATTAGCTGTACATGGATGTAATTGCTTGTTAACTCAGAGATGGGAGGCCTTTCATTTAGAAGAATGTTCTCACACATGCTCAAAAAAGTAGGCTTGTCCTAAAACAACCATAGTATAATCCATAATTTGCTGGCTAAGACTCAAATTTGTAAAATGTTTTTTTCTCCTAGTGTTTGTTTTCCTAGTTGTTAACTACATCCACAAGAAGATAACCTTTCTTGTACACCTGTAATTTCAAATGTATAATGACCTCATGGCGGATTATTTCATTATCAGGTTCTGAATCTGAAATTGCCTATGCCAACTTTTCCCGCTCGTCTTGACGTGTCTGAGCTTGCTCAATGTGGCTGTACCGTGCTCTAAAAGAGAGAACCAAATTAGTAATACTTGGTGTCACTACCTCAATTTTGATTGGCTTAAAAAACGCAGTTAATTACTGCTGGCACTGTTTTGTAACCTCATTTTGTAGGGAACTTTTGGAGTGTGCTGCAACATTTAGGTTTTAAGCTTACCTTTTAAGTTGTTTACAAGTTGACCTACAATTTTAGTTTCTTGTATGTGCTCTTGTTTTACAAGTTTATGCAAGTTTTTGCTTGATAGTGAGAATTATCAGTGCCTCGGTTTGTGTTGTCTGCCTCAGGCTTTGGCTGAAAACACAAGCCTCTCTCTATCATGCTTAACCTCATGGAATAATAGTTAAATACATTATAAAAATAAAAGAGGAGAAACACTGAAAGATATAGTCTATCAAATTTACTGTAACTTAATATGGTTATGTACGCACATTTTAATTGATTACATGTACATGACCTTCAAATATGCTGGTAACATTTTCAGGAAGGGAATGACTTGTCCAAGATTGTACTCTCTAAACGAAACA